GCACTGACCCAGGCAGAGAGAGTCAGGGAAGAGATTTGTCATGGTGAACCTGCCATAGGTGGCTTTGGGCTTGTGCTCTCAGAGGATGACAAACTCAGACCCTGCATAGGCTGCATCCATTTGGAAACCTCCTTCTCCTTAACTGGAAATGTCACAAGGACTTTCCCTCAGAGGAGGTTTCCCTATTTCTCCCAGTGCAGAACCAGACAATGTCCATGAATCTCCTTCAGATCTCAAAGGGTTCAGCTCAGAAACTGCCGCAAGGACAGGATTTCTCCTTTAAGGGCAAGACGAAGGACTGGAAAAATTTCCCATTTCAAGATAAATGCCTGTCTACTAATTGTGACACTAGAAAGGCTACAGGGAGATGAAGGGCAAGTGCTGGATGGAGAGGAATGTTTCCTTTTCCTGCACTGCATTTCCAGGGCCCCAAGGTACCACTCCAGCTCCAGCCACTCAGCACTTCACACTGGAGGACTTTTCACTGCACCACCACAGCACATTCCCAGTGATTGGGCTTTTCAAAGAGTCCACTGAGCCCATCAAGGAATTGAAATCAATTGAAAGAAATCTTGAAAAGAATGGTTTTTATCCAACCATTCAAAATATCACTTCTGTGTCAAAATTCTTAAGGTCATTTGAGGACAGACATGCCCTATACCAACCTGCTTGTTAAGAGTTCTCCTCTTTGGATGTGCTGGTGATCTTGGCCTTATGAAAATGGAAGACAAAAGAACATATTAAGAGGAAGAAAGAGAAAGGAGGGAATGTGTGTAGCATGAAAGGAGGCAACCCTTCTTAGCATGGTCACTCTGATGAAGGAGGAAATGCAACACAGAAACTAATCAAGATGCAAAGCTGATTCATTGTCCTTAAGCTCTCAGTTGCTGGAGTCAGACAGAGCTGGCCAAGCTCTGTCTGAAACACAGCAGTCATTCTTCAACTTGCATCATAACCCCCCAGTTCTGCTGTCTCTCCTTTTGGAGCCAAGTGGCTCCTACAGCCCATCTGAAGCAGCAAGAGCTGCTGAGCTGAGACACGAGGCTCTATGGAGGGCAGCTCCTTTTGTACTGCTGCAAAGCTTGACTTTGCCTGTTTGTGCCTTACACTGGTGACAGTCTCGTGCTCCATGTGGTCAGAGCACTGCTGTGTCCTGAGAATGATATTACACCTCCTTGATCTTTCAGGAAAAAATAGGCTTTTTTACACTCATATGCTAAGATATTCAGATAGCACTTTAAAAGCTCTACAGAAGATTTTCAATGTGAGTGATACTTCTGAGACTCCTTTATTGTTATCTCTCAGACAGGCTTGACAGCTACATTTTCTCACACTTCTCCAAGCCAATATCTTCCCATCAGGTATAGTCCTATTACTCTTCTCTAGCAGCTCGCCTTGTCTGATCTTAAGCCTTGACCTTAATATTAGACATTGATCGGATTATACATCTATACCCCAGAATTTATCTGGGATCTCATTTCACAGTGGAGGCCCAGGCACAGAGAAGTTATGCCTGACATTTACAAAGGCACCACTGGAATTTGTAAATACCTCTAAATTAGCCAGTATTTGCCCAAACATGTTAATGTGGCTGAAGAAATTGACAGTCAAGGATTAGAGTATTCAAAGATCTGCAGCATCCAGACCCATGCAATACAGTTCCCAAATGACACCACAAACATTACAGAGGGAATCAACAGCCAGGTCCAGAAGAGGACCTGTCTTGAGGAGCTTTTCAGCCCAGCCTCCTCTTCCCCACCACCACCTCTGCTCTTGGGCCATATGGTGCTGGGTTTGACATTGGGCTGGATCACCACAGATAGGGCCAAATGCTGAATACACAGAGGTTTGCCTAAATACATGGGAGAGCTGACTGTGCAAAATAACCTCACGAGATGGGAAGAGTGAGGTGAACAGCACACTGGAGCAGCAGACACCTTGGCTTACCTCATCTCCTGGGACTCTTGCACATCCAGCTGCAGAGAGCTTTGCAGAGACCCTGCAGCACTGCAAACATCAGGACTTACTGCCCTGCATATTGGGGGGATCAGAGGGAGACACAATGACTCCTTCTTCATATCCCCTTCAGTGTGATACAGCAAGGAAGCCTGAATAGAATAGGATATTATTAATATATATTTCTATATACATTCTTATAATAATTTTTGTTTATGTATTAATTCTAATATATT